TTAACTTGGTGTGATAGAGAAAAAAAAAAGACCTAAAAAACAGGTATGCAGTTTTTTAGAGGGCTTCCAGCCTGTGCTGAGCCTTGTCCTTGCAGCTGTGTCTTTCCTATGACCCCTGAGCTGGCTGGTTTGAGCGCGTCAGCAGCACTCGGCTGCCGTCCGGTCTGCTGTGTGGGCAGGTTGCAAGGAGCAGGAGAGAAGGAGAGGAGGAGAGTCGGGCTGAGCCCGTGTGGGAATGAGCCCTGGGGGTTCCTAAAGTGCCACCTTGTTCACCATCCTGCAGCCCAAGGGATCTAATCTCACAAGGGGTCCCCAGGGAGAGGGAAAACAAGTTTAAAGAACCGACTAGCCCATAGAGGTAATGGGGCTGGCCTTGGTTGCTGAGGCTGAAACCTATAGAAATAGGTAAAATTCTCAGCTATTGCCCTCTGACCAGGAACAGCAGAAACCGCAGAGCCAGGAAGATGTGAGGGTGAGCGCTTTCCACACCGACTGTAATAACGATGAACTAAAGTGGGTTCCCTCCCTCCTTCTTCTCCTCTCTGCTTTCCAAACAGGAGGAACAAGAGGTGCGAGGGCCAAGCCCCGCTCTGCTCTCCAACACGAAGGTCAGAGCAGCAGGTCTCCAATCCTGCGAGCCGTGGAGGAGAAGACGGGAATACACGGCTTAAAATGCCCCCGCGCTGCTTGGAACAGCAGCCGGCTTGCTGCTGAGAATGAAATTGTTAACGGCTTGAAACATCCCTTCGGCTGCTGTCACGGGAATATATGGGTTGCAGAGGCATGAGGTAAGGTACTAGAGGAATGCTGTGACTAAGTTTCCTGGAACAACTGAAACACTGGCTTTTTTAAGCATGTGAACTTCCAGAGCATAACAAAACAGGGCGCTGCGCTCTCCAAACTGTGGATAGCTTCGATGCCTGCTGTTTTTCCAGCCCTTAAATTGGAAGGGGGGAATCTTGGCGAGCTTCACTGATGGTGATTCATGTTTAAGATAAAACACACATTTTTTTAATAGCAAGAATAATTAATCATTATAAGATACTAGCCGATGCTGTGGTAAGTCCCCTGCCAGTCTGCAATTGGAAGAGCTCTTTCTGCCTTTTTTTTTCCACTGTAAATTATTGAGTTCTGTAGGAAAAACTAGATGAAACCTCGGGACCTGTGTTTTCTGTTTCGGATTACATGGTAACACAGTCTCTCCTAACTGGTAATCTATGACTATCCATTGAATTAAAAACAGTCAAGGGAGCATTGCACATGCTAATTCTCTGCGTCTTTGGCTTTTTAAATCATGTTTCGAGGGCTTTACTTAGTGCTAGACATTTCCCTTCCTTACCAACAGCAATCTAAAGCCAAAATGAGATGTTTTGCCTGTTCTCTTATTCTGAGTAAGACCATGAGACTGCCTTTCTCTGTAATTTATCTGTAGAAATCAAGACAATATTGGAGCTTCCTCTGAGGAACTGCTGCTCATTGCTACCTCCTGTTCCCTTCCCAGCAAAGGTCTGAGGGTTTGCTAAGCACATTTCTTCACCCAAAGCAAAGCTTGTGCAATGGGACACCATAAATCCAAGCAGGGAGCTTTTCTCCTTGCTTCCCTGTAACTTCTCAACTTGCTGACCGGTTTCTGCTGAGCAGGAAGCGGTTGCTACCAGAGTCACTTCCTATCATCCGGTGACTTGGTGGCAGCAAGGGGACGCCTGCAGCGGGAGCTCGGTGCTTTGCAGCCACCTGAGGACACTGAGGAGAGCCCAGGCAGCAGTGCTGGACGCTGCTCTTGGCCAGGCACCGCAGGAGGGGACGAGGAGGCTGCTCCAGCCCAGGTGCATCCCGGGCAGCTGGCAGGAATGTGCCCATTCTCAGGGAAGTCACAAGGAGAGCAATGCAACTCTTTGGCTTTCCCTGCCGGCTCCGCCGGGATTCTCCCCACTGCTTTGCAGGAGGAGGTGCTTTCCTGGCTGGAAAGGTGAAGGGATCTGCAGGGAGCGCAGCAGCTCCAGCCGCAGCCCCACGTGTCACCATCCTCTGCTTGTGGTTAGCACAGCACCGAGCTCAGCCCGGCCCGAGCGCAGCGCGGGGTCTGCTCCGCTCCCCTTCGGGACAAACAGCTCTTGAACAGCTCTTGTTTAAAAAGGGGGTTTATTGCCACATCTTAAAGCTCTTTACAAGCCGGAGACAAAGTGCTGCCTTTCCACTGGCTGCAGCAGCTGCTTTCCAGATCGTTGGCCACGTTTGCTTGCTTGCAAGCTCACTTCCTTCCTGTCACGAACGTGTGACCCGGTGGCATAGCCCGAAACACAGAATTACGCAGCAGCTCCCCATGCCCAGAGGGGTTTTAGGCACAAGAAAGCTGTTTTAGTGCAGCCAGGAATTAGGTAAGTTAAAAGGGAGAAAAGGAAAAAAAAAGTGCATGGTGGCAGGATGTACGCTGAATTTGGAGTTGCCATAAGAGGTCGGAGCAAAGGCTTTCTAGACCAGGATCCTGTCTCTGACTGCGGCCAGAAACTCCAGAAAGGAGCTCTGGAAGCAGCTACAGAATAACCCACCCTCCTGCCTTAGGCAGAGCCTGGCTCCTGACCAGAACAAGAATAACCAGGGGGAAAACTGCAGGAGGAACACGGTGTTTCCTGGGGAGCCCAGCTGGGTCAGGCTTGCAGCTGGGCTAGTCATTTTAGGATGAAAATGCTACTCCTGCTAGAAAAAAAAAGTAATAAATTTGAAAACAAAAGAGACTCTAACATCATGCTTTCAGCAGTTCCGTTACTGGGTGCTAAGGCGATTCCACTTAAGTTATACTTATTTACAAGACATAATACAATCTAGTAGGTTCTGTTAGTACAGCAAATACAGTATTTAGCTGCAGCTTGTAACATGATTTAACTTCCCCATTTCCTAACAGGTATACACTTGCGGGGTTTTTTTTCTGCTAAGACTCCTACTGACAGGTATTCAGTAAAATGTCAGACACTTTCATTTTGCATTAGGATATTCAGTATTATATAAAGATATACAGTAAATATAAGTGCTTCCTGTAGGCTTGGCTGTGACAGATAGGGATGTCTCAGTGTTTTCATTTGCCAGATGAATATCCACAGAACAGACTGCCACAGGAAAACACCTCTGAGAGCAAAGACGTCTAGATACATTATGGGACTAAGTTATCCCATGAGCTATTTCCATTCTCAAGGATTTTCAGTTCCAGGCTTTGATTTGACCATCCTTGAGTTTAGCATTGGCTTCAAATTTGGGATATGACCCTGTACCCAAGGTTTGCTCTGGTTTGTGTATCTTCCAAATAGCATGACCTGCTTTTCCCATCTAGTTTCTCTCTTGTTATAGAACCGTGTCTTGCAAAATCTGGCCTGCTCTCTGAAGCTGATGTCCCTCAACTTCCAGTGCACACCAGGTTCTGACAGCTGGCGTTCCTACCACGCAGCGCTTGGTAAACAAAAGTGCAGATGCAGAAAAATACACTTAGATAGCAGATAGGCACTGAATGTTGTCTCTATTTCATTAGCCCTTGCCCTAAAGTATATCTGAAAGATGAACGAGACCCATGGTTCATACTGAATCCATAGCAGCAGATTACACAGACCCAGAGTTTGCTCTTGGGCCACGTGCTTGGGACTCAGGAATCTTTTTGTCTCAAAGCAAAGCTTTTTGGCACCTGAGCTCTGGCTGCTTGACTGCATAGAACTTTCCATGTGAGAGGATAACAAGTGATTTTCCATGCAATGTCTATGGCTGGCTTGCGAGGGGGACAGACCATCGAAATCCAGGCTGTTCTCATCATCAGAAGAGGAAGCCCCAGTTCAAGTAACTGCTGTTTTGGTGGTGCCAACCGAGAACGGCTGCGGGCACCACGGCAGCACTGCTGTGCTCAGAGCTCAGCTGCCCGTCGCCTCGTCTCAGCAGAGGCTCAGATGAAGCTTCACGGAGCTGCTGCCATGGGAGGAGTTTGCAGCCCATAGCAGCCTTGTGAAACCTGAGAAATCGTGAAAGGAAGAACAGAGGAAACACTGTCCGCTCAGCTAAGAGTGCAGCGCTGGCAAATGCGAGAAAAGAGCCTAGATAAAGTGTCACTCCTTAAAACCAGGCTGGAAACATCACCCTTTTCTGTGCTCCCTGAGCTCAAGGTCCCCTTGGGGATGTCATACGATTCCCCTCAGAGCAAATACTGTTGAGATTGCAGGGGAATCAGCTCAGACACAGGGCTGTACAGCAGGGGTGCAAAGACAGGATTTTACCATCACTTTACTCACTAGATACCAAGGAAACTGTGGCTGCTTTCAGAAGCAGCTGCAGGAATTATGCCTTCCCCAGACCCTTGCGTAGCGACGCCTTTTTATTTCAATGCACTTAAGCCACTGGGGCCAGCCCCCAAGCTATGTGTGCAAAATGCCTTTCCCTCCTGGTACTCAGCATTTAAACAGCTGTTCAAATTACAGCTGTGTGTGCCAAACCGTGGTGCGCAGGCTAGCCGGGACACAGCAGGTAGGAAACTTAAAATAATAGGGGGGATTTCATCGAGAGCTCTTGCCTGATATGCACACTACGTGCCAAGGCAATGCAGAGACAGCCTACAGCTAAGGGAAACATATCCTTAAAGAATGAGCTAGGCAGGCTCTCCTAGGCAGATCCCTGGGATCTCCTGGACACAGGCTCTCCAAACATCTGGCTAATTGCTCCAACTATCACAAGGGAACTCATCAGATAGCTATATTCTTTAAAAATAGATGTGTTGCACTGCTATAATGTACTCCCCCTGAGGCTAAGTGTAACCTGCCCTGCATCTTTGCCTCTGTTTCCCTATTAATGAATTGGAAACAATTAATACTTGCCTGGCAAGGATGCATTGAGATTTTCGTTCGCTTACACGGTGCTTAGCAAACACCTAAAGCTCCGCACAGCCAGAACCAGAGGAGTGTCCTTGTGCAGCTGCTCTGCTTGCAGGCAGGAGCTGCCCAGTGGTGTTTGCCTCTGCGTGAGGTCACTTGTTAACCGTGGATGTGGTTTTGTGAGTAGCTTTGGAGAAGATTAAGCCATTTATCTTTACATTCCCAGATGTCACTGGTCCAGGTGGTCCAGGAAACCTCACCAGCAAGTGAACCAGCTAGTAAAATCACCTCTGACAAGGTTTCTCCTTTAATGATTTAACTGGCAAAACCAGACAGGTGCCAGTGTAATCTGGGTATTGGCATGTCTGTAAATACAGATAAACAAGGGCTTTTGCTAGAATAGCCATTTTGTGGTCCTTTCAAAAATCTGCCTCAGATTAATTACCAGTGTTTTTTAAGGCTTGATCCATTGACTTGAAAGGACTTTGGACCAAGTCCTTAAAGAACATTCACATTTTCGTAACTGCTCTATGTCCTGTAACCTTCTGCTGTGCTAAGAGGATTAGAACTGGGCTACGATATACAGCATGAAGAAAGAGAGAAAGATGCTATAACTGAAAGCTCAATTCTGTCCCATAAACACGGTGTGCGCACAGCAAAACACCACCTTTTTAACACTGGCCTAGCAATGGTACAAATCATAAATGGCAAATGTTTAGCTCTGATTTTCAGAAAGAAGTCTGTCCGAAGAGTGTGTCAGGGAGCACTTCTCCTATAAAGAGTCACTAGAGCCTTTTGCTTTCCTTTCTGTGTCTCTGTTCCTTCTTTTTTCAGTTCTCCCAAATCTTTAATTTCTTGCAAGACTTGTGTAGCTTGCAGCAGCTGCTCCACTGCCTCATTGAGCAATGTCTCTGCCAGCACCGGGGGGCCGTTCTCCCCCTGGGCCTGCTCCAACCCTCCTCGTAAAACCTTCTGCAGAAGTTTTTCTGTCTTTTCCCTTTCATTGGCAACCTTCTCCTCCATTTCAGCGATGCAGCGATGGGAAACCCTGGGGAAACCTGGGCCTGTAAGTGCTCCCTGTGCAGTTTTGGAATCAGACAGCAAGTCTCCCAAAGAAGAACTGCGAAGTTTGAGAGCTGAAGGGCTTTCAACAGATGTTTTCTTCTCAGTAGTCACTTTTACACCCTTATGGCCTGTTTCTGTAGCTAAGGAAGTCTCTCTCTGTTCTGCTAATGTTTGCTGTTCCTTCTCTTCAGCGGTTCTCTCATTTCCTTCTTCAGTTTCAGCTTTTGGGGATGTGGCCTCTGCTTCTTCACTGTCTTTGATCCCATTCACGGGGGGACTGGAGCTGTGAGACTCCAGGTCTTCCAAACCTGCAGCTTCCAGGTCACCCTGGCTGGAGTTTATAGTGGCTAAAAATTTTTCTGACAGAACCTTAGGAGGAACAACAGGCTTGGCCACATCTGCAGTGGCAATCTCCTGCAGATTCTCTTCGCTACCATCTCCTGATGATTTCAAGTCTTCTGTAGTTTTGGGCTCAGCGACTGGCTGCTCCCAAGTCACTTTTAGCTTGTCTGGCACGCTCTTAGGAAGAGGAATTGGAGCTTTTCCTGAGCTCCTATTGCTGACCTCTGTGAGGGTCTCCCCATCCTCCTCACTTGGTGCTTTGGGTCCTTCTGCACTCTCCTCAGTGCTAACAGAGTCCTCTTCCGTGGCATTGGCACTCTCCTTTGATGCTAGGCTTTCCTTAAGCTTCTTATCCGGGGGCAATGGAGGGGACAAAGGCTTTTTATGTTCCTGGTCAGGAACATTATTCTCTGCGTCTTGTTTTTCTTTTGTGCCAGTGGGTTTTGTAGGTGGCATAGGTGGCTTTGGAGTGTCCTTCTCAGGGAGAGGATTGTCACCTTCGCTGATAGTGGAGTCCAAGTTTGGTGGTCCGTTGTCCACTATATCGAGATCTAGTCTCAGGATACCATCTGATGTTGCCTTGGCAGCCTGAAATACAAGGGAAAGCTTGTTCAGATTCTATCCCACCATCAATTCCATGCTCAATTCTGTAACTTCAAAGAATTGCTATGGATGCAGTGGTACAAATGATTCCAGCATGAAACTCAAGCTGTGAAGTGAAGGGGAAGGACTGCTATTTCACACATCCATCTCTTTTTTATACTTACATCTGTCAAAACTGAAAATAGGAACATCTGGCTGATAGCAAACGTGACACCTGAAAGAGCAGCTTTTTCTGTAGCTCAAGGAGCTTTAGCTACTTCCACAAAGCATCACCCTGTGCTACCTTCCAACAGCACTAGCAACCTCTGCTAGCATTAATCTACTAAGTGAAACCCAGTGAGATCTGATATGCCAAAATACAACGAGCTGTGACAATCCTGGGTCCAAAAATTCCATCCCACAGAGAAGAACGTTGGGTCAAGGCATTTACACTGCAGCAAACCTCTAAAGCATCGAGCGAGGCACATGCGTCCCTCTGCTACCCCCACTTCTTCTCCAGATCACCACATTTGGTGACTGTCAGGAGCTGCAGAGCTATTTTCTGACCGATAGTGCAGCAACTTGCACGAGTATCAAAGCCAATGACCACAAGCAGTCGAAAATTAGGACCTCACTGCAGAATTTATTTTACTACTTCCTTTAAGAGCAGCGCTGAGAAACTGGTTCTTCTTTCCTCTCCCTTACGAGCAGTCAGCTCTGCCAGGTTTGGGTTCTTCATGCTGGGGTGGCTGCATCTTTTAGTCCCCTCATTTGGGCATGTGCCTGCCCAAAGCTTGACTGCTTTCTGCTTTTGAGACTGTTCAAAGCATTGAACAGATAAAACAAGTCAGTGTACATTGGGAGTGCTTGGGTACTAATGCAATGCTCCCTGCCTTCTGGTTGCTTCTTCCAGCCTGATGCCATCACTGTCTTACTGAGGCTAAAGCTCAGCCAGTTACTCCTTCAAACCACCCTCTGTCTGCACATTGCCGCAGAAAGGTGGTTGTATCACAGAGATGGAGTTAGCAAAGACCCTGCACTGTGTCTTATTTCCTTATCCACACAGAGACCATAAAATTATCCCCAATAATGTCTCTGAGAGCAGCTCAGTAGTTAGGGGTTTCCATCTGATTTGACGCCAACTCCCATGTTATGTTCTCGGTCTTCAGTGCTCACATGGACCTCTTTCAATTTGAAATATTAACACTTAAAAACAGCAAGTCCTTCGGGGTGAGGGCAGTGGTAGGAGATGAAACGCAGGGTGTGGAACATGGCAAGCAGTAA